CACAATTTTCAATCTTTCTCTCCCCATTCCCTCCCTCCCCTCTCCTCCTTCTCTAGCCCTCGCCGCGCGCTGTCTTTCTCTCTCCCCCTCTCCCTCCCTCTTTCCCTCTCCCTCCCTCCCTCTCTCTCCCTCCCCGCCCCCTCCCTCTGCCTCTGCCAGTTCTGCTTGGGTGGGGGCTAACTCCCGCGTCCCTGGGGTGCTTGGGAGAACATCCCTGCCTTTCTCTTTGCCTCCACCATTCCCTTCCCTCCTGGACTGTGCTCCCCAGGGCTTGCAGACAGCTCCTCTCTGTGGCCTCCTGGGTAGAAGGGAGTGGGGAAGGGAGGACCCCAAGCCCTGTGCCCATGGTGCCATCTGCAGCGAGTGCCTTGGCCCCGTGACATTCATGCCTCCAGCATTCAGCTGCCCCAGCTCCCAGCTCCGATTACCCTACCCGGCTGGCTGCTGGGGGGAGGGTGGGGAAAATGTGCCATGCCCAGCTTGGGGGTGCTCCTAGCTGCCTTCTTGGCTACTTGGATCTGTCGCTTCCGTTCCTGAGGGGAACTGGGGCAGAGGCAAGAAGTTCTGTGGGTTGGCAGGGAAGGGGCTGAGTTCTTGAGCGTGGGTGTGGGCTTGGGGGATGGAGTTGACCTCTGGACCTGGACACCCACCTTGATGCCTGACTGGAGCTGGCCTGGGGTGGGAAGAGGGAGAGGAGAGCAACAGGTGGTTAAGGTTATGGAGGGGGTGGTGAGGGATGCATAGTCTTTCCAGTCTTTGATGTTAATACTGGGCATCTGGCCCAAGTCAAGGCTGCTGTTTATGTCTTTCTGTCTCTGATCTGCAGGGGGGAGTTTCCTGTTATATTCTTTGGGGGGAGAGGATCTTTTGTTTAAGTAACCATTCGCCCCCTGTCATATCCCCCACCCCCATCTCCCATTCTCTAGCCTCCAGGGCCCCTTGGTGAGCTAGGAGATCAGACTTAAGGCCCGATGCCCTTAAGCTCCAGAATCACATCTCACAGGGCCCCCGGTGAGAGCCCACCAAGGAGTACTGCCTCCCTCTTCACCTCCCTCCTGCTTGCCAAGCTGGTGCCTGCGTCTGTGTATTCCTCTGCCATCTCATACCTGCCAAATAGTACCTTCCTTCCCGCCTTCACTCCCTTCTTTCCTGGCACTAGAATAATAGTGAGTTGGGTGGGGCTGGCCTATTCAGTCCATACCTGAGAATAGAACAGGGTGACCTGGGAAAGGAGAAAGAGGTCCTGGCCCTGAGTGGGACCTACCCCTTTGCACAGGGGAGGGCGGGGGGCTGTGTTCTGCTGCAGCCTTCGCTCTCCCCAGACTCCCAGGGGCTGTTGGTGTTTGTGGCTGCCCGTGCGAGCCCACGTTGGCACCGGTGGTGGTTTGCACACAGATGCCTGTGTTTGCCCGTGCATGCCCCTGTGTATATTTGGGCTACAGTGGCCACCCAGGCCCCTTAGCATCACCCTTCTTGGCGCCCGTGGTGTGGAGTCAGGGCCTCAATGCCAGGTTATTGGGGGGGGAGTATCTCCCCCACCCCTAGCATCAGGCAAAGGGGAAGGGGAAAGGGAGGCGTGAACCTACCCACAGCACTATTAATAGCCCACATGCCAGGCCACCAAGAACCAGCTGTCACCGTGGAAACCATTTCTACTCCCCCCTCCCCCAGCCTCCGTGGGGTGGGACTTAGGCGGGGCATGAAGCACCCCCCACCCATCTTTCTTTGTTACCTTTCTCTCTTTGTCTCCCCTCTCCTTCGTTTGTCTCTCCTCCCTTCCTCACCCCTTCTGTCCCCCATCCCCCATCTCATCGCTGCCTTTCCCTCTACTTCATTGTCATCCTAGCTCTACCCCCCATCCCTGCCCATCTCTTTGTTCTTGCCCCTCCCCTTCCTCTATCATCCCTTTTGCCCCTCTCCTCCTCCTCCTCTTTCTCCACTTTTCTCAGCCCCCTCTATCCGTGTGTGTCTTTTCCTCTGTGGTTGGCAAGGAGGAGGCCTGGGCTTTCTTTAGAGCATTAAGGACAAAGTCCAGGGGCCCCAGACAGATGAGGCGAAAACCCAGAGCAGACACTCGGAGGAGTAGTGTGTGTAGGATTTGGGGCTAGATTCTGGGGGCAGAGAGTCCCCTTGGGCCTGCAGGACTGCGGAACGGGGCAGTCCAGCAGTGGGAACCTGGCGTGGTGCCCACGGATGCCGCATTGGCCTCCTGGTCTCTGTCCCCCCATTGCAGAAGCACTTAAGCTTAATGAAATGCTTCCCCCTCCGTGGGCACCTTGCCCATACTGCCACCCAACAGCTCTTATCTGACAAAGAAGGAGTGGGTGGCCGGCCCACCCGACAGGTGGGTCTTGCCATCCGGCTGTCCAGTCTAGTCTCAGAACCCCCCAGCTCCACCTCCCCTTCTTCAGGCTGAGCCTCCACCTCTGCGGGGCAGGTGCCAGGAAGGAGCTTGGGGAATTAAGCTGGACTCCAGGAAGAGGGGAGAAATGCTGCCCTTCAGGGTGGACATCCCTACATCACCCCCCCCCTTCCCCACTGCCCTTTTCCTGCCCACAGCTAACACAGGCTCACAGGGTCTATGCCTCCCTGCATGCTGGGCCTTCTGCTTGCTCTGGGTTGCCTCAGAGGCCCAGGTATGTCCCTAGAGACCAGGGGTCCCCAGGGGTTGGTTCTCCAGGCTCTTGCTTGGTGCCACATGAGGGTGCCCCGAGCATGAGGGCAGCACCTTGCTCCTCTGCCCATTGCCAGGGATCAGTGTGGCCTGGTTGCACCGACGGGCACCGGGGCGCCATTCACCTCGGCACAGAGGTGGGGCAGAGAGGGAGCTCGCCCCTCCCCACGGCAGGCACGTGCAAGCCCTTGGCAGTGCCCAGACACATTTGGAGTTAAGGCCGGGGAGGGGGAAGGAAAAATAAACATGGTGGCTTAGGTTGGCGCTACCCCAGGTGTGCCCTGTAGCAACTGGCAGTGGCAGGGGTGCGGGAGGAGGGGGTCCTCCGGGGCGATGGCCCCGAGGCAGGAGCCGCCCAGGCCATGTGGCTGCCGCTGGTGTTCCCTGCCCGGCCTGGCCCCCACCGGTCAGTACCCATGCCCTACACCCTAGCCCTCTTTGCCTGCCCCCAGGGCCTGCTCCCCAGGGCTGCCCCTCTCTCAGCATGCCCACTCCTGTGCTTGCCTCCTCCCATCCCTGGGGGCGCTCAGGCCTCCGGCTGGCGAGTGGATTTTTCCAGCTTCTGTAAACAAGTGGTGGCAGCGTGCCAGGTGGGCAGGAGACAGGCGGGGGCTGCACCGCAGCCAGGGTGTGCCAAGCACCGAGGCACAGCCTCAGGGGGGGAGACAGGGAGACACCGAGACCCAGAGAGAGCGAGGCATTCAGATGCAGACGGACGGACCAAAGGAAGCCTTGCTGGGCACAGATAGAAGTGGAAACAGAGGCAACAGAAAATGGCCCGCTATTGTCCAGCCCGGCCCCCATGACTTCCCTGGCCCCCTACCCCTTAGTGCTCTGGCTAAGAGCGGCAGGCCCCAGTGCCCAGGCCCTGGGCATCCCCACCCACTCCTTCTCCTCCCCTACCTCCACCCCTTAGGGCTGGCTACGCCATTATAAATTTATAACAGGAATTTCTTCACAAGCCAAGAAAAACTTGACCTACTTTCTTGACGGCTCCCTGGGCTAAGGCTCCCCGCTCATTGCCCCCCCACCAAACCCCAGTCTCCTGTCCAGCCCCCAGTGCCCAGTCCTAGTCTAAGGGGGTAGCAGAGGCACCAGGGGCCACCTTTCTGCGCTCCTGCCATGTTCCTCATGTGGGGGGCTCGCCTGGGTGCAGAGGCCCTGTCCTGTCGCCCTGCCCTGCCCAATGACCTGAATTATCTCCGTTTCCCCTCCCACCCTGGCTCCTTATCAGTTCCCGGGGGTGGGGCGGGGGGCCCAGGGGTGAGGTCTCTGGTATAGCAGCCACGTGATGGAGGCTGCATGTGGGGAACTGCACCCTTTGTCCCCCTCTCCCAAGCTCACACCAGCCGGTGTGTGCAGACAGTACGCCTCTGGTCTGTAGCCTGTGGTCAGAGGGGCAGTATAGACGGGAGGGTGGGCCCAGGCTGGCCCTGCGCTGGACCCCAGCTAGTGGACGGATGCTAACATTTGAGGCAGGCTGTGAGGCGCCACTCCCTGAGCCACCTGCTCGCTAGCTGTGTGGATGGGAGTGGGTGAGCCAGCTGTCGGAGCATGCACCTTCATCTGTAGAGTTCTGGTGCCCACTTCAGAGGGGCACATATTATCCATTCAGATGGCCTGGTAGTTTCCTTTTCCATTTCCCTTGCTGTCCTGGTGGGTGGCAGCCCAGCTAAACCAACTGGGAAGTCTGGTCCTCAAGATTGGGAAGTGTGATTTGGGACCTTGTACAGGAAGTTCTGAAGTCCTGGGCGGGGGTGGGGGGGAGGTGGTGGCTGGGATTGGGGAGTCATAATTCGGTCAGCAGCAGAGGGGAGGTCAGCTCCCCACTGTTTTCAGCACCTCTCTCCATGAAGTCACTCCGGTGGGCATTCCCGATCCCTGCGTGCTGCCCCCACGCCCCACCCTTCCTTCTCAGGTACCCCCCACGCCTGGGCTGAAAACTGCTCATCTTGGGTCCCCTCTTGCCCTATAATACCGATACGTCTTACAAAAATTCAGCTAGAGGGGTGGTAACAATAGCCAACAATTAATGGACGCTTATCAAGGGCCAGACCCTTAACTGAATGTCAGGCTTGAGACGTGGTATATGATTGCCTTCATTCTTTTCCTCCATACCTTTCCAAGTTAGGATGTGTATCTCCAGTGTTGCCTGCTGCACCTGTTGATCTGACAGGTTGTCCTGGTCCCCTCTGTGCTTGCCCCCCATGCCCACCACCATCTTGTGATGAGCCCCTAAGAGCCCAAAATGTTGCCACCAAAGAAATCCTTCTACCCACTCCCACCATGGCGCTGCCTTATCCCTGCCTCTCTCCTCTCTTTGCAGGGACTTCTGGACGGGACAAGACTCTAAAGCTACTCCCCCAGTCCAAGACACCCCCCACCTCGGACCCAGCTTGCCCTCAGCCCTACCACCTGCCACTCCCTGGCCCCTCTCACCGCCCGCCCCCCTCTTGGGGCACAGGGCATGGTGTGACAGGCCAAGTGCTGAGGCGGGCACCATGGGTGCTGTGCCCTAGGGCCTGGGTGGCAGGGGGTGGGTGGCCTGTGGGTGTGCCGGGGGGGCCGTTGTGCCCACCCCAGTCTCTTGGCGTGCTGGAGGGCATCCTGGATGGAATTGAAGTGAATGGAACAGAAGCCAAGCAAGGTGGAGTGTGGGTCAGACCCAGAGGAGAACAGGTAATGGGTCTAGCAGCCGGGACATGCCAGTTCCTGGGCAACAGGCATGTTCATCACCGGCCTGGGCAAATGAGAGCTGAGCTTGGGTCTTTTAAGCACCTCTGGAGGGATGGGCACGAGACCAGCAAGCCTGCTGTCTACCTTTGCCCAGGAGATGGGGTCATGGCCACATGTGGCAGGGAATTAGGCACCTGGTTTGAGAGGTGTCCATTTCTGAGCGGGGAGGTAATGCAGAGCAATGACAGGTGGCAGGCACGTGGCTCCTCGACAGTGCTGGGGAATCTCACATGCCCTCCCAGTGTCCCTCCGCTGCCCTCACCTGAGCATGTGCAATGCAAACAGCCTTGCCGCTTTCCCGCTCTCCCTACCAGACTCGTGTGTGGTCCAGAAACCATGGTGCGTGGGACATGACATTTCAGGGCACATGCGCCAGTGACTGTTGGTCCCAGCCCATGCTTATATTTGGAACCTATTGGGAGCCCCACAAGCTCTTCCTTGTTCATGGGCAAGAGCGGGCACTGCCGTGGGGCTCCTCCCAGGAAGTGGAAGTGAATGCCAACTCTGAAGGGTTTACTCACATGTGAAGGAGGAATCAGCCCTGCACACACAACTAGGGATGCGTTACCTGTGATCTGCATGGCTCTTGAGGAGCCCAGAGGGTCTCCGCTTCTCCCATCGGCCCCAAGTGGCACAGAGCTCTGTCCCAGTTGGCATGAAGCCCCAAGAGCTGGGTACAGCCTGTGCCTATGGCCAGGGAGAGGGTGGGGGTGGGGGTGCTCTGGGGAGGAGTGTGGCCGTTGCCTTGGAGACCAGATCTTGAGCCAAGAGGCCAGAGGCTTGGCCAGGCAAAGCCTTGGGGCCCAAGTCTAGGTCCCCGGAGGGATGCAGGAGGTGGATGAAGCTGGCAATTCGGTGGGACACCCCAGGTATCCCTCCCCAAAGCCTCACCCCACGGGAGCTCTGAAAAAGATCTGGCCTGTCACTGCATGGCTCTCACTTGCAGCCTCTGTACCTCCCTGCCCAGACTTCTGTGAGTCTGGGCGAGTCCGCTCCTAATTCACAGAAAAACAGGAATGCAGGTTCCTGGTCCCCCAGAGCTGCATCCCCTCCCCCATCCTTCTCCCCTCCCCCCATGTTCCTGCGCCACCTTGTGGCTGTCCCTGGGACTGCACTCAGAGGCCGTGAGGCGTCATCGTTGAAAACCGCCAGCTCAACTGGAGGGTTAGACTGGGCCTGGAGTTCTCCCATATCCACTCCTCTTGGGGGCAGGAGGGAGCTCTGAGTCTCCAGTGGTTGTAGAAATCAGACAGGGGTAATCCCCAGGGGGCCCGGAACATAGACTCGTCTGTGTGACCCTGGCCAAGGTCACTGTGTCAGTGTGTTGGGCCCTGCATCAGGCTCCAGGGGGCGGAGCCCTGCAACATGCCACTCGCAGGGTGGGTGTGGGAGGTTATACAATCCGTGCATGCATGTAGAGGCTTATGTAACCTGTGTGTGCTGAGGTTATGTAACATGTATGGGCAGAGGCTGGTGACATATATGTGCAGTGGCTGAGGGTTGCTGATACCTTGCATGGAGGAGCTGAGAGTGCTTGTCCCGGCTCTGACTCCCGGGCGAGGCATCGCCAGGCACAAGTGGACCTTCGGTTTGTTGCTCTGCTAAATGGAGGCCACGAACAGGGTGACGCTGGAAGTCTCTTCTTACTGTCATATTCCAGGTTCTAGGTTCTAGTCGCTCGGCACTGTGTGTTTTCAATCACTGTGGTTATTCACCATGTGAGCATGACCTGGAAATCAGGCAACACGTTCACTGGGGGGAGGGGGTGGTATTATTAGGTATCTATCCGGAGGGTTGTGTAACGCATGGGCATATCTAGAGGTCAGATAATGCATTTGAGAATGCCCTGAAAATTTCATGGGTATATAGATCCTGGTGCTTATTTACTATGCTTAGGTTTACACTGAAGGCTGCATAGTTATTCAGATGCGCTGGTCTTTTTTTTTTTTTTTTAAAGATTTTATTTATTTATTTGAGAGAGAGAGAGAATGAGAGATAGAAAGCACGAGAGGGAAGAGGGTCAGAGGGAGAAGCAGACTCCCCGCTGAGCAGGAAGCCCGATGCGGGACTCGATCCCGGGACTCCAGGATCATGACCCGAGCCGAAGGCAGTCGCTTAACCAACTGAGCCACCCAGGCGCCCTCAGATGCGCTGGTCTTATGTTACGTATATGTGTGTGTTCTAAAGGTTATATAGCTCTAAGCATGTCCTAAAAATTCTTTCTGCTTAAGTGTCATGTTATTAAAGGCTTAACCATGTGGATATCTTATAGATTATTGGTGTTTAAGGTTCTATAACGTGCGCACGTGCGCGTGCGTGTGTGTGTGTATGTGTGTGTTTGGGCTCTAGAACATTGCTGTGTCCCAACCAAGCCCTGTATCTCTCTCCCCAAAGCTTGTAGATAGCTGGACCCATCTCAGTGTTGTCAGCTGACCTAGGCGTGGAGGTAGAATGAGGACACAAGATGGAGGGAGTCGGGCCCCGGGGGATTATATAAACCTATTGGATGAGAAGGGGGCTGCCCAAAGACTGGTCTGTGATTCTGCCCACTTTGCCCCCATGCAGTGCCAGGTCACCAGATGGAAAGCGAAAAAGAAAGAACGGCCAATGTTCCCTGAAAACCAGCATGTCAGGTGAGCCTGGCTGTGTGTGCCCTGCTTCCCCGCCCTCAACCCCGCCAAACCAGCCCGGGGCCTGGGCATGGACCAGCAGCTCCTGTGTCTCTTGGGGAGAGCCTCCTAGAGGGCTTGGGACGGACTTGTCTGGAGGTGAGAGGGGTGATAAGGACATGCCCCAGCCTTTGAGGATGGATTAGGTTAAGAAGGGCCTCTTCCCTTCTCTGATAACCCCCTTGCCTGAGCCCAACCCCCCTGTGCCCCTGGATCAGGGTCTGGGCTAAAGGGCCAGGGGACTGTATTCCTTTGAGACGAGCTCCTGACAGGTGCTTCTCCTCCTCCTGCATCCCCCACCCCTCAGATGCAGCAAGAGAAAATCCCCAAATGGGCAGTCGGAAGAACTGGGATTCTCCATATTCTTAGGGAAGGGGATGGACAAGGTGACCTCTGATGTGTCTCCAGGATTCTGCTTGGACACAAAACCCTGTCAAGGAGGCTGGGCTAGGGGATGGGCCAGGAAGGAAAAGTTGGGGGATGAAAAAGTGTAGGAGCCTCTCTGCTGGGGGCCCAAACCATGCCTGCCTGCCTGCCTCCCTTCCTCCCTCCCAGGGTATATCCCTAGTTACCTGGACAAAGACGAGCAGTGTGTCGTGTGTGGGGACAAGGCAACCGGTTATCACTACCGCTGCATCACTTGTGAGGGCTGCAAGGTATGGACCAGCCAGTTCCTGCCCCTCCCCCACCACCTGAGCCCCCATCTCACCCACTTTAAGGCCCTCAGCACCTGGCAAGGACAGCCCTATAAACATGCCACCTAAAGCCCACTTGTTGCACCACCATTGCTCTCTCTCATCCATTTGTTCATTCACAGTCTCTGCTCTGCCACTCATACGTACGATGCCTAATTTCTCTGGGCCTCTGTTTCTTCATCTATAAAATGGGGATAATCCTGCTACCTACTTCAGAGAGCTGTCGGGAGAATTAAATGAGCTAATTCATACAGAGTATTTAAAACAGTGCCAGGCACCTCAGAAGCGCTCAGTAAACCCCAGCTTTCGTCCATCCATTTGGTGGATCAGGTTATGAGGGATGTAGTACATGCCCTGCCTTCCAGCTACTCACAGCCTACCAGAGAGAAGCACACTAGAAACAAACACTGTGTTTCAAAATGTGGTCTGGGGGCCACCCTCAGTACGAGCTCAGTGCAGAGCCCCGGGCCCCATCCCACCCTACTCAATCAGAACTTTTCGTGGTGAAGCCTTTGTGGACTCTGCCTTGAAACAGGTTCCCCAGTTGCTTCTCCTTGCACCTAGAAGGGAGAGAACCAGTGCTTGGGGGGGGGGGCATGGTGGGGCCCAGAGCGGGAGGGGATGCCAGGGTGCCCCTGGGCAGAAGGGACAAGGTCATAGGCTTGGGGGGGCCTTAGTTAGATCTCACTTTGCTCATTTTAACCTGCAAGGGTTTTCCAGGGTCATCACCTCGTGAAAATGTAAGACTTGCCAAGAAACAAAAGTATTTAAAACTGTGTTAAGGCTTCAAGTTGCTCTCTCTCTTAGTATCAACCAAGCCAAGAGCCCCAGGGACTTAGGGTCCCATAGCAGCGTTCCTGGAGGCATTTGCAAGCAGTGTCCCTCCAGGACAGCCGAGTCCCAGAGAAGCATCCCAGAAAGCCAGAAATGCCTTGGTCCCCACCCTTCCAGAGTCTGATGTTGTAGGTCTAGAGTGAGACCCAGGAATTAGTATTTTTCCGAAGTGCATTCGATGATTTCCATGCACCGCAGGATCTGTGAACTCGGGCCTTGTGTCCCGTAGCTCAGGTCTAGTTCTGGCTCTCCTGCCCATTCAGTTAAGATGACTTTGGCCAGATTGCTTAATCTCTCCAAACTTCAGATTCCTAGTCTCAAAATGGGTTCCTGCCTCATGGGGTTGGCACAGCATCAAATTCGATGATGCACCGCCCCCCCAAAAAAAATAAATAAATAAGGCTTGTAAGTGCCTCATAGTGAGCGTTCAGCACATATTAGCTCTTGGTATTGTTACTGCCATCTTGATTCCTGAGGTTTTACCTTTAAAGCAGAGACAAAACCCAATACATAGAAGTAAACAGTTTCTCTTAAAGCTACTAGAAGTGTCCATACACAATGCCTTTTCTTGATTTTTTTTAACCCCCCCATTTCAAGAATTCCGCCTGCATGAGCAGCAAGCAGCATGTATAAGGATGGTTTGGGGGGCAGGGGTCAGTTTTATTTTCCGAGTCGTTTAGCAAGGTGGAAAATGAGGTACCCGTTGGACTTCCAAAGCTGCTATTCCTTCAGGCATCCTAGCACCTGACATCATCCCAGGCTCATGTCTCTGTACTGTGGTCGTCATTCTCATCCCCTGCCACCGCCATCACCCACACGCCCCTGCCCCTCCACAGCCTAGGAGCTGAGGACATGTATTGCTAAGGTCCTTTGGCCCAGCCAAGTGACCCTGGGCTTGCTGGTGTCAGGAGGATGCCAGGTCCCCTCACTAACCCCCCGCGCCCCAGTGAACTGCATGGTCGGTTAGGGAAGGGGAGGTCACGATCACTCCATGCTCCGATCTCCCTCCACCCCAGGGCTTCTTTCGCCGCACAATCCAGAAGAACCTCCATCCCACCTACTCCTGCAAATATGACAGCTGTTGTGTCATCGACAAGATCACCCGCAACCAGTGCCAGCTATGTCGCTTCAAGAAGTGCATCGCCGTGGGCATGGCCATGGACTGTAAGGGGATGGGGGGGTGGAGCCAAGCAGCTGTGGCTGGGTGGGGAGGGAGGGGGTTCAGGTATGACTGCTTCCTGCCAGGGGATCCTCAGGGCCCACAGCGCAGAGGGACAATCCAGGTCAGGCTGATGGTGGAGTGAGTGTTCAGGATCTTGGTCCCTGCTGCCCTTATCCCTGGGGAAAAGGAAGCAGGATCCCTCCATGAGCCCTACTTCCTCCCGGTGCCTACCTGCCTTTCAGCAGGCTGGGGCCTTAGAGTTGCCAGGTAGAAAGAAGTCCTGAGGACCCCGGCCTAGCACAGTGTTCTTGACTACAAGAGAAGGCACACCACTTCTGGGGGAGAGAGGGCATCTTGCATCGGCGAGGGACCAGGTAGCAGGGTCTTCTAGTAATCACTGCCATCGTCACCCTTTAGACCAGGACGTGATAATTGTCTGCATCAGCTCAAATTGGAGTTGATGTGGTCCCAGCTGATTATCATGATCCAGGTTGTGCCACCCAACTTCCAGGTGATTTGGGAAGTTGCTTAACCTTTCCGGCCCTCAGTTTCCCAACCTGTACATTGGGAAGAGTAGTTTCTGAGCAGGTTGTGGAGAGTGGCATGCAAAGGGCGTCTTGTCTCTCTGCTGTTGACAGTGGTTCTAGATGACTCGAAGCGGGTGGCCAAGCGAAAGCTGATTGAGCAGAACCGGGAGCGGCGACGGAAGGAGGAAATGATCCGATCACTGCAGCAGCGACCAGAGCCTACTCCTGAAGAGTGGGACCTGATCCATGTTGCCACAGAGGCCCATCGCAGCACGAATGCCCAGGGCAGCCACTGGAAGCAGAGGCGGAAATTCTTGGTAAGGAGGGAGGGGGGCTCGCGGAGGGCGACAGCCAAGTGCCCAGGAGGGAGAATGAGCTCAGAGCCTTGCCTCCTTCAGGAAGCCTTCTTAGTTTAATCTGACCCGAAGCTAATGCTCTCTGCAACTTGGCGATCCTGAGTCATGCACCTGTGTGTGGGTTGCTGCTGTCAGAGCCCTGCCTGTTCCATCCGATTGGGGGCTCCAGGAGGACAGGGCCTGGCCTTCCTCATTGAATTTCCAGAGAGCAGGAGCAACCTCTCCCTTTTTTCCTGCCCACAGTGACTGGGAGGAGAAGGTGAGGACACAGTTATGTAACAGCATTTGGGGGCACCTGATGGGTGCCAGGCATTGTGTTAGGCCCTGGCAAAACTGAGTGCTAAGTGAACAGCCGGCTAGGGAAGAGATGGACAGTTGGTTGTATATGGCGGGTGAAGGCAAGAGAACTGGCGTCTGGTTCCTGGGGGGAGTGTGCCAGTGGGTGGAACAGTATACTGCCAAGAGCACGGGCTCCAAGACCAAGCACATGTGGGTATTAATGGTCAGGAGTCGGACTGCCTGGGTTCTGATCCTGGTTCTACCACTTACTAGTCGTGTGACCTTGGGCTTATTACTTAGCTGCCCTATGCCTCAGTTTCCTCATCTGTCAAATGGTGGTAAGTAGAACATCCTCCTCATAAGGTTAAATGAGATATATAAAACCTGTTGCCTCGTGCCTAGCTGCATATTAAATATTCAATAAACCTAGCTTCTATTATTATGATATTACTTCTACTACTGTTATGATCATTGTTATTATTAGCCGACTTGTCGCTCTGGCTCTGATCTATTCTCTGCCCCAAGGTGAATGAGAAGCCTTAGGCCCAGGGCACAGCAGTCCCCGGGAACTGGCGGCCCCTCCTCCCCATCCTGCCTTGGAGCTCCCCCTGGTGGGCAGGGAGCCTCAGTGAGAGGTGGAAAGGGGTCTGCCTCCCCAGCTGACCCCTGTCTCTTCCCTTAGCCGGATGACATCGGCCAGTCACCCATCGTCTCTATGCCGGATGGAGACAAGGTCGACCTAGAGGCCTTCAGCGAGTTTACCAAGATCATCACCCCGGCCATCACCCGTGTGGTGGACTTTGCCAAAAAACTGCCCATGTTCTCCGAGGTGAGTGGCAGATGGGAAGAGGCATGGCGCCACACTGGAGGGGAACTGGTCCTGCTCCCTGGGTCACCCAGTGTCAGCACATGCTCATCTGAGGTTCTCTGGACAGGGAGCAATCCCTGTAGATCAACACATAGCGAACACACACGTGCGCACAGTTAGCCAGTGCCTAAGGAACCAAGAGGCTCCAAGTGTCCAGCCTCCCCAGCCCCCACCTGCCCCTTTCCCCCCGACATCTACATAGCCATCCTGGCTCCAGCAGCTTGAACGTTCTCATTTTCAAGAGCACTAACTCTGGGCACAGGCTGTCTTCCTAGCTGTGTGTCCTTGGCCATGTTACCCAACTGCGTACCTCACTTTCGCCCTCTGCAGTCGGGCTGGAGATAATGGTGGGAGCTAACTCATGGGCATAATTGTGAGGTTTAATGACGAAGGGCATGCCCACGGCCCAGAGCAAGGTTAGCTGTTCAGAGTACACCTTACTGGCTGAGGCCGGTGGGGACCTCACAGCTCCCAAAGCACAACCCCAGGAGACACTCGCGGGGAGGGAGGGACGTGCTGAATGTCCCTGTGGCCCTGCCACTCCGCAGCTGCCTTGCGAAGACCAGATCATCCTCCTGAAGGGGTGCTGCATGGAGATCATGTCCCTGCGGGCGGCTGTCCGCTATGACCCCGAGAGCGACACCCTGACGCTGAGCGGGGAGATGGCCGTCAAGCGGGAGCAGCTCAAGAATGGCGGCCTAGGCGTAGTCTCGGACGCCATCTTTGAACTGGGCAAGTCACTCTCTGCCTTTAACCTGGATGATACGGAAGTGGCTCTGCTGCAGGCTGTGCTGCTAATGTCAACAGGTACCTGCCTCCTGGCTGGGAGGGCTCAGTAGCTTCCAGGGGCCTGGAGCTTGGCTGGGCCCTGGGCCCGTCACTGTCCTCTTCCCTGAATGCTATAGTCTTTCTCTGTCCCCTAAGCTTACCTCTGTCGCTGGGCCCATTCTCTGTCCCCTGTCCCCTCCTTGACGCCCATCCCCTCCTTGGTTCTGATGTCCAGGCCCATCTGTTGCCTCCCCATGCCTCCTCTGCTCCTCTTCCCACCAGCCTTCCTCTTTGCCCCTAGTCCTGCCCTGTCTCCAGGTTTCCCCTCTCCTCCCACCTCCCCGCCCCTCTGTCTTCTTTATTCGTTACCGCTCCGAACCCCCAGCGCCTCAGCCTCCTCCTGAGCCCTAGCTCTTGCTCGTGTACGAGCACTGCCCTGTCTGTGTTTCTCTCCCCCTCCCCGCCTTAGCCTCTCTGCCTCCGTCTCCCTCCACTCGCTCACCCTCATGCCGCTTCTCCCCTGCAGACCGCTCGGGCCTGCTGTGTGTGGACAAGATCGAGAAGAGTCAGGAGGCGTACCTGCTGGCGTTCGAGCACTACGTCAACCACCGCAAACACAACATTCCGCACTTCTGGCCCAAGCTGCTGATGAAGGTGACTGACCTCCGCATGATCGGGGCCTGCCACGCCAGCCGCTTCCTCCACATGAAAGTCGAGTGCCCCACCGAACTGTTCCCCCCACTCTTCCTCGAGGTCTTTGAGGATCAGGAAGTCTAAAGCCTCAGGCGGCCAGAGGGTGTGCGGAGCTGGTGGGGAGGAGCCTGGAGAGAAGGGGCAGAGCTGGGGGCTGAGGGAGGCCCCCCACCCCTCTTCTCTCCTTCCTCTCGTCCTCGGATAGATTCAGCTCCCACACACACCCCTGCACTGCCCGTCCCTCCTCAGAACCTCCAGCCCTGGGACAGGGCAAACACATGAACTTGCTATGAAAAGGACAGTGTGGGAGGCTGGGGGACCGTGTCCTGCAGTTCGCAGGACCCCATCCTCTACGAAGGTAGGGGAAGGGAGGGAGAACTAAGAGGGGACAAGCCATCTTGACCGTAGGGGATGGAGGAATGGGGGGTGGGGGGAAGATGCCCTCAACTCAGCCCCTACACACACACAAGAGAGAGCCCCCCTGCCCAGTTCCTTGACCGAAGTTCCCCCTCCAGGCTAAGAGCCTCTCTGCTCCCCCAGATGCCTGGGTGCAAAGAAAGGCTTGGCTTGGCTCCTCCCCCCCCCCCGGAGGTTAAAAATTAGTCATTCTAACTGCACTTTGGAAACCAGGCAAGGGGAGAAGATAAATGAAGAAAAACTAGACAGAGAGAAAAAGAAAAAAAAAGAGTGAGCGACTGAGAGAGAGAGAGATGATATTAAGTTATTAACCGAGGCTGGCCCCCTACCACCCCGAAGCACTTTGAGAGCTGCCCCTCCTCCCCCCAAATCAGAGAGAACTGCCCCCCATACCAGGTCCCCGAGGGTAGGGCTGCCGATCAGAGCTGTGAGTTAACACAACAGGGTCCTGGCCATCCCTCCTTCCTTGCCCCTCCCTCTGTGCCCCTTCGGCACCCCCCCCCAGCCCAGTGCTCCCTCTGCTCTCTGCCACTCGTGCCCGCTGAGTTCCATCTACCTCTCACGCTGGATGCCAGCTGGCCCCTCACCAGCCTGCCCTGCTGCCCACACAGCTCCCCTCTCAAGTGCCCAGCCCCAGGGGCCTCTCCCTGCCCCCCCCTCTCCTTCACACCTTGGCACCCACACAGGAAAAACTGTGGCTCCAACTTCTGCCCTCCTCACATCTGCAGTATTAGCTACAATCCAGATGCTGCTGCGCTGGGGGAGGGGGCGGGGGGGCGGTGTGCGTGAGCTTCTCCCAGAGCCTCCACCCCCTTAGGACCCTGTCCCCGTCTGTCTTCTGGGCTCTCTCTAACCTCTGCCCTCTTCCCCACTCCCACTCAATGCACTAACCCAGATTCGGGGCAGGCAGGCACCAGAATGGGGGTGCCTAGACAAATGGCACTTAGTTGGGGCCCCAGGGGCGGGGGCGGTTGGTGCTCCTTTTTTCTTTGAAGCTCTTTAGGCCAGCCGCCCCTCTGCCCCCAGGACCCCTTTCCCCTCTTCTTTTCTCTAATTCAGGGACTTTGGCTTGAGCCACCTCCCACCCTCCTGGTGAGGAGTGCTCTGTTGGTCTGCACTTGGGTGAGCTGCCCTCCTCCCCTTCCTATTGGCTACTGCCCGCTGCCCACTCCACAGGGGAGAGAGGGAGGGAGGAGGTAGCCCTCCCATGGGTGGGGGGAGGAGGGTGGGGAGGGACTGAGCAGACCAGAGGGCCCTGAGCTCAGGGCTGCTTGTCGGCAGGGATGGATGGGTGGACCTAGATGCCCCCGGAAGCCATGGGGAATGGGGCAGGGGCAGGGGGAGGGGTGCCAGGGCTTCCTGCGCTTTGCACTATTGGGGCAAAAATGTCTTAAGCTGTGGGGAACCTGCCATCCCACCCTGACCCTCAGCCTGCCACAGCCCCCTACACACACACACGCACACGCACACGCACACATGCACGCACGGGAAGGCAATGCTATGCTGCCCAACAGGGCATGTCCTTCCCCCACTGTCCAGGTGTTCTGACAGGGGTGGAGGGCCTGGAAGAACATCTGCGGTCTCCTGTGCATGTGCCTGCCCTGCCCCCCTTGGGCTCGTGGGCTGCCCTTGCTGTCTTTGTCTGTCTCTATCCTCTCTCTCTCCTGGGGTACTGATTCCTGTATTACTCCAGTCCCATGGGTAAGCCCTCTCGTACCCTCCTCTGGGGGTGCACCACCCCTGGGGGCCCAGTGGAATTCCTGACCTGTCTGCTGTCTCCCCCATCCTTAAATCCCCACCTCAGCTCCCCCCCCCCCCGCCCGCCCCATCCCCATTCTCAGCCATGGACATGGTGGAGAAAAGGCCTTGAAGGGGCTTGGCCTCTTACAGGCACTTGGGAATCCCTCCCCCCTCCCCTCCCCCAATCATATGAGCTGTGATCCCCTACTCCTCCCCCCATCTCTGACCCCTCCCCCCTCACTTTAGGTGATGTGGGGTGTATGTGTGCGTTTCTCTGCGTGAATGTGTGAGCAAGTACACGTGGTGGGGCAGGGGCCAGGGGACTCAGGAGCACCACGCACCTGCTCTAGAGAGGCAGCTGTCCCAGTCCCTGCTTTGGAAGTGGGGGACAGGGCCCTCTCCTGGGGGCCATTGGTGCTAATGTGGGGGATGGCCTTGACGTGGGTGCTTAGCATGCCTCTCCCAGTATTGGCCCGGGGCACTAGGGCAGGCGGGGCGGGGCAGCAGGTGCAGTATTGGTGGGAGGAGGGACTGCTGGAAATGGGCCGGGCCAGGCCAGGCCAAGGGGGTGCCAGAGCCATGACCACTCCCCCGTGCCCACCACCCCGCCTCTCCATCTCAGTATCCCCCCCATCACTCAGAACACACATACCTCATCCAGCCTCCTCCCTGCTCAGCCTTGGGGAGGGTGGGGGTGGAGGAGCCCCTACCCCTTCCCCTGGTGGCGGGTCTACAGGGCTGGGAGAGGGCAGGGCGTGTGACACAGACACCGTCCATAAGGGGGACAGTAATTCCTGCCCCAGGAACTCCTGGGTGGGGGGAGGGGGCACTTCCCTGGAGGCGCTACTGAATGTATGAGAAGCTGGTGCTGGGGTGGGGGGAGGGGGGTTGTGGCCAGAAACAGGGAAGGAGGTAGGTCCCCTTTCCCCAGGGAGGGGGGAGGGGGGCCGGTAGGGGTGACTTGGGGGGCTCCTACTCCTGCCCCACGTTGACAATCAGTATGTCTGTTACGTGCGATTTTTCACCCCGTTGTGTTTTGGGTCAGGATTTTAAAGAAAGATATTTTTATGGTAATTGTTGCTCGTCTATTTTACTATATATTTATGTAATAAATATATGATGAAAATAACCCCCTTGGGCACCCCCCTTAGACTTGTGTGCTGTTTCCCTGTATCCTCCCATCTGCTGGCAGAGTACCCACCCCACCAACTGACCAGATGGAGAGGTGTGCCCCAGGCTTGGCAATATTTCCACCCAGTCCCCCAAACGAGCACACACCACAGAAGCCAGCTCAGCTGTGAACTATTGGATTTGAGACAGGAATAGAACAAATCGGGGGGCTAGAGAATAAGGTGGGGGGGAGGGAAGAGTGATTTAAATAGGGGAGGCCGGGAGGGTCAGTGATGGGGGGGGAGGGAGGCAGTTATTTACAAGAAGGCTCGGGGGGACCAGAGGCTCATCTTGGAATATTTTATAACAATATAAATAAGATTCTGGTTTGCTTTTCCTTTTCGTCTCGTAAAGGAGAGAGAAGTGCAGAGTTCGATTCTGTACAAGGGGGCAGCGGCAGAAGGCCGGCCGGGCGGGTCACTGGGCGTCCACCCGGAAGGACAGCAGCTTCTCGGAATGCATGTTGTTCAGGGTCCGCAGGTCCGGCAGCTTGAGCAGCAGCTTGGTGAAGCGGGAAGTCTCCGAGGGCCGGTTCTTCAGCACCAGAGCCCGAAGAGCCCGCAGCAGCGTCTCCTGGAGCTGCTCCACCGAAGCGGAATTCTCCATGCCCGAGCGGTCTGTGGGGAAGACGACAGCAGTGAGGCAGGCTCCCCGAGCTCCTCTGAGGAGGAACCGGAGGAGGTCTCCGAGGAGGTCCCCGAGGAGGTCCCCGAGGAGGAGGAGGAGGACGCGGCCGCTGCCGGCACCGCTGCTGGTGCACCCTCTCCCTGACGCCCCTCAGAGGGCCCACGGGGGGCAAGGAGGAGGAGGGGAGTGCAACTCCTCCCCCCAGGCCTCTGCCCCGAGAGCAGGAGGTGGCTGAAAGCTGGGAGCGCAGGCTCAGCGGGGCTGGTCACCTCCCAGCCCACGAGGCCACTCTCCTTCCCTGAACAGGCCAAACGCATCCAGGCTCCCTTGCTTTTTGCTCTGTAGTTCCCTCTGCCCGGGATGCCCTTCCCCCTCTCCGCCTGGCAATATCTTACTTGTCCTGTGAGGCCCCACTCAAGTGTCACCTCTTTCCCCAGCTCCCCCAGGCAGAAATAGTTGTCTGTGCTTCCAAAGCCCTTGGTTCATGCTTCTACTGTGACACTGATCTCACTGTTTTATAATTAGTTGGGCATGAGTCTGTCTCCCCAGCTAGACTGTGTCTGAATCATGTCTGTATCCCCAGTGCCCGGTGCAGGGCCTGACATAGAGTAGGTACTCCATAAAAGGTGTGTTGAATTGAACTGCGTCCGCCTCCTCCCCCGGGGTCAGGCTCAGGCGAGAGCTTGACCTACCTGCAGAGACAAGCACCACCGCGGTGAAGAGGCCCAGCTCCTCCTCGGTAAGCGCCAGGGAGTTGAGCTTCTCGCTGAAGTCAAACATGGCATTGAGCAGGTCCCCCATGCCCATGGCTCCGAGTTCCTGCAGGCTGTAGGTGGTGCGGCTCAGGAACATCACTGTCTGGTCCTTCACGTTGAACAGCGATGCAAAGCGCACCATCAACACCTAAGCGGGGGGCGGGGAGGACAAGGACTGTCATCCTCGGGTGGGGTGGGGGGAGCACTTGCCCAATTGCCCCTGAAGTTTTCCAGGGGGTTTAACTGGTGCTGTCTTAGATTTCTCAGGAAAGAGTGGGGGTGGTTTCTGAATGGGCAGTGGGGCAGGGGTGGGGGAGACAGAGGGATGGCCAGCAGGCCTGGATCTGAGTCTTAGCTTTGTCATTCCCCGTGACCTTGGGCAAGGTCACAAAAGTTCACCCAGGTGAATTTGCTCATGCCTGGAAGGGGGCAGCAATGTGCCTGAAGGTGTTATTTTAAGGTAACGGGATGTGATTAGACCCCAGCTGAGATGACAGGAGACCCAGCCATCCCAAGGCAGGACAGTGAGGGATTCTGCCCCCTCCTTCAGCAGTCAGAGTCTGCCAGGACAGAGATACCAGGGTTCCAAAGCCTTTCAGAGCCCCTGCCTATCCCAGACACCAAGTCTTTCCACCGGATCCTTCCCAAGGCCAAGAGCAGGGAGCACAAAGGGTCACTCACCTCAAAGGTGCCAGCCTTAAGCAGCGTGACCTGGTCGTGTTGAGAAAGATCACAGAAGCCAGGGATGTGCTTGGCAAACTCTACCACCTCCCGCACAGCGGGTGTGAAGCTCATGGAGAAATCCTCCCAGATCTCTTGCACGGTTCTTCCACTGCGTCCGTGTGGGTACATGTTCATGGGACATGCCTGGAAAGGGAAGGGGGTTGGGGAAGGGAATATCAACCAGGGCTGGCTCAGATGGGTTCCCCCAGCAGGGCTGGACCCCAGCTTCTGCCTGGGTTAGGGGCTATGGCCCCGGAGAATAGGTCTTTTAGGTAAAGTAGCAATCAGGTGCCAGGTGGAGATCAGGGATTCACAGGCAGAGCCCTTACTGCAGGGCTGAGCATCCTCCCCTAGCAAGAGGATATTCCTGCATTAGCATCCAGGCACACCCAGCTGCCTTCTGCTAAATCCAATCTCCCAGGCCCTCTGCCCACCTCACCCCCAGTGCCCTCACCAGCAGAACGTTCTTGGAGTTGCCCTGCCGTGGACTGTTGGCAGGTGCTTCGCCTTCTGGGGCTGGGTACCCGTGGGTGGGGCAGAGACGGTGCCCGTTGCTGTTAGGTTGCTGGCAGCTGTGGTGGGCAGGGCCAGGGGGCCAGGCGGGAGGGTAGGAGGAGGAAGCCTGGCGTAAACCATTCAGGGCCTCATTATGACGCTGGGCAGCCATGACGTTGTTGTCGTTGGGAACAGGAGGGCAGCCCTGACTCTCCCAGCAGTGTGGTGTGGTGGCCGGAGGGCTGCCAGATGCATGGTTGGCATTGAAGTTGCCAGGTGAGGTGCCCAGCTTGTCATGGGCATAGGTGAAAATTTCTCGGTGGGCCCGGGCCACCTGGGATATGACATCCTCCACCGTGGGCTCAGGACTTGGGGATCGGGGAGGCGTCAGCTGTTGTGGGAATTGGGAGAAGCCCACCAAAGGTGATGGGGCCGGAGCAGGAGGTGGTGAGGGGCCCATGGGGCCTGGGGCTGGGTGCTGGGCGGGCGAGGTTTCCAATGGGCACTGGCTGCTCAACTGGTTGTTGGCCAGGTTCATGGCGCTCTGCATCTCGGCAAGCATCCGCTGCTTCTCTCGTTTGGGGATGCGCCCAAAGCGCACAGCTGTGACGGGATGAGAGCAGCGTCAGGAAGTTCTCATACACACTCACGTGCTTCTCTTCCTTCCTCCTGAAAGGGCAAGGCCCTCAAGGCTTGGGGTTCCACATCAAAACCA